TTCTCCGCCGGCGCCGCCGCCGCGGCCGCGGGCGCCGCCGCCGGCACCGCCTCGCGCGGCGGCTCCCGCGCGGGCGTCGCGGCGCTCGTGCTGCGCTGCGCGGAACTCCTCGGCGCCCTCAAAAGGGTCAAACCCTAGGCCGTGAAGATCATGCTTCGGCTCCAACACATACATGGGCGTGTTCTCCACGCCCACGCCCGCGACCGCCCCCCATTTGCCGCCCGCCGGCGCGGCGCTGGCCGCGCCGACGCCGCGCCCCTGGCGCCACCCCATCTTCTGCAGCAGCCGCACGCCCACGCCGGCGGCGGCAGGCGCCACCAGCTCGTCGATGACGCCACCAGGGATGATCTGCGGCCGCGCGGTTCCGGCGGCCTCGGCCGCGGCGCGGGCGCGCGCGGCCTGCGCAGCGGCGTCGCCGAAGGTGTCGTAATCCGGGGCGAGGGCCAGGGCCAACCGGCCTCGCTCCTCCTTCTCATCCTCATCAAGAAAGAAGTCGAGGTCGTGCTGCCCTTGCTGCCCTTGCTGCTGCCCTTGCTGCCCCTGCTGCTGCTGCTGCTGCCCCTGCTCCTGCTGCTGTTGCTGGTCGCCGGCCCCGGCGCGTGCGGTGCGGGAAGACTTGAAGGTGGCGGGCGTGAAGCCCTCCTGCACGGGGTGTGGCAGCGCATGGGACAGAGGGCCTGGGCCTTTTGGCGGCTAGTACGCGAGCAGCGCCGCTGCAAGGAACATGCCTGCGAAATCATAAGGTATGTGGCCGCTGCCCCTGATCGTGCACGCCGCCGTGTGATACCAGTCATTGACTCGTGCAGCCAACGCTGCTTGCCTTAGAGCCGACTGTGTTGTAGTACCCAGCTGAGAAGCCGCCAGTGAACGCGCCATGGAACCGCCGCCGCCCCTGCTCGTCGGTCACCTCCTGCGGCAACACATTAGCAGTGCACAAGCGGAGGCGCGTGGGCGGCAGCTGGGGTGCGCCATGCTGCGAGAGCGCACTGCCTTTGCGCTGACCATGCGGGGGCGTTGTGTTTGCACTGGCTGTGATGCACCAAGGGCCGTGGTATTTATCACACACAATCCTCAACTGCTTCTGGACGCTCTATTCAAAGCTGCGGCCCCCGAGAAGGCGGTGCGCGCCACGCACACCTGCTGGTGCACCGGCAGTGCGCGCGTCTGCGTTGGATCCTGCGGCGCCTTGTCACGGCTGGGCCCCTGCGGCTGCTCGTCCTGCAGCGGAGTGCCGTAGTACACGTACGTATCGTCATCCGAGTCCGAGTCGTCCCGGCCCATCCCGACGAGTAAGTAAGCAGAGTGACCAATCTATAGATCACGCAAGCAGATATTCCACATAAGGTACATATGTTGCAGCCATCATGAAAACTAGCATTGTATCCAGAGCGTTCACTGTCCAATAATGATACCAAAGACCAGTCGTCGCAGCAAGACAGGCCGGAAACCGTCTCAACGCGCCGACGATAGTGCCCTGCAGAAGGTGTGCACGGCTTCTTATTGCGTACAGTCAACAAGCTGACGCGGCCTGCAGCCTATAAACACCGCGCGGCCGTCCTACGGTACCCCGGGGGGCCCCATCAGGCGCCGCTCTACAGTACGCCATCCAATCCCGCCCCATGCGGTCAATATGGCTTGGCTGCCTGGCAGTGATGCTGGTGAACGCCATGCCAGCGCTGGCGGGCCCCAGCAAGCATCCCATCTCTGCAGTTGAAATGGATCAGTGGACACCCACTGATACAAAGCCGCCAGCACCACATGTCCTGCCGCGCAAACTGCTGCAAGGTACGACAGGGGCTGCCTCCATAGACACGCCCTAAACAGGCTGATTTCAGCCATTTTTTGGTCATACTCCTGAGGGCGAGGTTTCATCATCGCATGCACGTGCTCCGGTGTGCACACTCATTCGCACACGCGCCACAGTATCTGCGTGTGCGCACTTGTGCACGCACGTCACACGCGCACGCGCACAAGCACAGTCCAAGATACCCCTCAAAACAATCTTTTCTCAGATGTCCGCGATATTTGTGATCCGGCACTTAACGGCGGCTGCCACTCAAGTGCGACATGTGTGGCAACCCCTCGTGGCCACGAGTGTGTTTGCAACCCCGGGCTGTTTGGAGACGGCTTCCTCTGTATCGGTGAGGTCGTATCAGGGCGCTTGTTTGGTCTGCTGATCAAAACGAAAAGCTCATCTGGGTATTTTTAGCACTGTGCAGCCGGCAGCATGCATGAGGCCCCGGCCATGCATCCAGCACACAATTCTCGATCGCTCACGGCACCACAACCAACCCACCGTCTGCTGCACGCACATCCACCGTGCATCATCCCCATGCCAGCCACGGACGAGGCGCCCGTTGGTAGGTGGGGGTGGCCCACGGGCATGGCTAACTTATTAATGGCTTCGGTGCTTGCACATGTGGATGCCGGCCACGCGGTACATACCAACGTGTCATGACAACACTGCACGCTATGCACCCCTGGCGCAGACGACCCCTGCGTGCTAACGGCCAATGGTGGCTGCCATCCTGATGCAGCCTGCACCGCGGCTGGCGGCAGCGGCCGCACGTGCGCCTGCAACCCAGGGTTCTACGGCGATGGCGTGTTGTGCAAACGTGAGCTCTGGGGCAGCCGGGCGACGACAGGAGCTGAGTTGGGGGTTGAGAAAATTTAGGGCCATCATAAGCCACATGCCATTTCAAATGAGTTAGCAGGCCTTGGGGTTGATTGCTGTAAGGCGCATGACAGCATGCATGGCGAGGGTTCAACCCCTAACCTCCAACATCTTGGCCCTTGACCTCGCCGCCAACCTGAATGCGCAACCTCGCCCGTTGCCTCATCCTCCCCCGGCCTCACACAACAGCATTGACAAAGCGGCGCTGAAAAAGCTGCTGTGCAGCTCCCAAAGATGCAGGACCCCGGCTGACTGTGAGCGCCCAGTGTCACTCCACGAGCAGGCTCCCTGCAACGAATGCAGCCAGGAATTTTGCTTACGTATGAATGTGCAGCAACCCATGACGCGCACACACTAAGTATCAGCAAGCTGGGTCGATGACCCCGATGCCAGTGCCCTTTATGCCAAACTTTTAGCACCTGCAGTAGGGTAACGCATCGCCACACTGTACAAGTGCCTTTTGCCTTGCATCATCAACCTCAAACATGTTGTGCACTCTCGACCCATCGCTCCTCAGCGCATTCATCACACTTTAAGCCATTCATGCATTAGTTATTGAATGCGACCACAAACACATAGATATCCATGCTTTGTTGCTGGCGTACTGCTTGCGTCATTACTGGTGCACCTTTGTGTGTGCATATGCCATATGCTGTGATTCAGGAGCAGAACGCCGTCATCAATCAGCCGCCCATGGTACCCTGATGGGCACGCATGTGAACGACTGGTGGGGCTCAGGGTCCAGATGACACAGAATAATGAGCCTGAGAGTTTAAACCAATAACTCAGGAGCAGCATGTCCATGGCTCGATGTGGCTCACAAGCATGTGCAGCTTTGGACAAAACCCCACCTAAGCAACAGGACCAGTCAGTCGTCAGAGGGGGAGAGAGCGCAGTCTCGTAGCATAAATAAAGACCTCCTTGATGTTTTCATATTTCTCGATGATGCATCACGGCTTCACGAGGCTGCAGGTGCTCCGCCTTGGTGCCTCGGGTTGGACGACAGCCTCTTCGCGCCTCGTGATGAAAGGCCCGGACCCCCATCGCGTCCCCACTTCGTTGTCGAAGCGCAGTTACTATTCTCTGTGAGTTGTCATCTTGGGCTCGTGGGCAACACGCGGCCATTGTGATCCTGCAGGAGGCCTCCCCAAGGCAATAACGAAGCTCATCAACCCCGTCCAGCGTTAACTATCGGTGCTGTACCCGCATCATGGCTAGCCAGGGCCTCCGCAGCCCTCGCGCTGCCAGCGATCACCCCCACATTGACCCGCACCCGCCCGCGGGCGCAAGCACCGACAGCCCCGGCCACCCCGACGCGGCCTGCTTTGAGCGCTGGGGCAGCTGCACTGCCCTGCTGGCTGGCGCTCACGACGCGCCCGCCGCGGGCAGCGGGGCCGAGGATGACGGCAGCGGTGGCAACGCCGCTGACATCGACGATACACAGGCAGCTGCGGCCGCCGCGGCAGCAGCGCTTGTCGCGCCAGACACCAGAGCCGCACACCTCGGGAGCGGCACATACACTTGCACCTCGGCAGTTGAACCCGACGAGGCAAGAGTGCACGCAGCCGCGACTGCGCTCGCTTCAGCGCCTGCCCCTTTGATGCGCCCATTGGCAGCCGCGATCGCGGGCGCCGCTGCTGTCACTCCGGCTGTCGCCAGCGGCGAGCTGCGCCAGGGGCTGCCTGTCTTCCTGCAGACCTCTGCGCTGACCATGAATGTGAGCAGGAATTCATGTGAGGTCTGCCTGATTATGGGTGATTTGTATGTGCCGCGCCTCTGCAGGCACCACTGCTTCCCAACGGGTGCGATGCCATGACCGCATGCAAATGCAGCTGAAAAAGTCGCACAGAAAGCGCGCCGTGCACGCCCTGCCACCGATCGCAATCACTATCAACCCTCCTTGCTGTCCCAGCAATGTGGTTACTGCGGCACAAGCTCCACGAGCGGGTGCTGGCGCCGAGGATGGGAGGTCGGGGACGGCGCGTTCTGCAACCTCTGCAACAAGTGTGGCCTCAGGTATGCACACCAACCACTCTGCAATCGACACAGCTCCCATCAGTCGTTAAATTGGATTTCCAAATTAATGCCAAGAGTGGCTAGCAAAAATTCAGGGGTCGTGATGTGCACACACCCTTGAATTTTTGCCACCCCCTCTTGGCATCTCTTGGCATCCTGTCGACTCTCATCATGAGATGATCTCGAGACTTCTTTTCCTGTAGAACAGGCTAATGAAAAACATCTGCCAGTGTGCCCTGTGTTTGCAAACAGCAGCCTTGCATCACACGCACCACGCAGGCACAAGGCCGGCAAGCTGCCAGGCATGCCACCGCCGCCTGTATCGCTCATCAGAAGCGGCGGCAGCAGCTCGCGCAGCGGCAGAACGTCAGGCTGCACAGACGACAGCGGGAACGGCGGCGCGGCCATCAGCGGCGCGAGTGGCGGGGCGCGGCCGGCGGCGGGGGCTGCAGCGCTGCCGCAGCAGCAGCAGGGCACGCCAGGCGCCGCCGCCGAGGCGGCATTGCTGCAGGCTCAAGCCGCTGGTGCCGCGGCCGATGCGGCGGCAAGGTTTGGCCTGCCGGTGCAGCTCCTGCACCTCGGACGCGGCACAGAAGCAGGAGCTGTGGGGACGGTTGCCACTGCTGAAGGCAGCTATATGGGCCACGCGCCTCTCAAGCAGGAGGCAGTGGATCCAGCGACAGCTTCCCTCCAGCTTCCCAGCGCGCGCGGTCCGGGCGGGCGCGGCCTCAAACGGATCGCGTCTGCGCCATCGGCAAGGGGCCTGGTTTTTGAGGGGAGTGCCGATGCATCAGTGCGTCTGGACGACGGCGGCTGTGGTGAGGGCGGGCCGGAGGCGGCGCGGCCGAGGAGGCGGGCGCGTAGCAGCGGGCGGCTGCAGCAGCAAGGGCTGGATCATGAGGCGGTGGCGGCCCTGCTGCAGCTCAACAGCACACGGTGGGGCTGGGTTGAGTGCGTGCCAGCTGTCTCGTCCAACTCTGGGCCATCTGGCTGCACACTGCATGCTGCATGGGCGGGGGGCGCTTTACGAAGCCACCAAGGCGCCCCTGGGGGGCACCTGCCTGATATAGTGCCCAGCCAAAAGCGAGATTTCGTGTGCGTCGCTTCATGAGTGGTGTTGGCTGTCAGATGTCGCGCCTCACTGCTCATCCCACCAGCTTTCGATTGGCCTCAGCTTTTCCAACTCTCAAGAAAGGGTTCAGCTCAAAGAGCCAAATTGATTTCGGCACAGGAATGTTGCACAGCCTAGCTAGGCCTGCTGGTCCTGCTTGCAATCCATTGCAAACTACTGTCACATGCTTCGCAGCATATTGAACATTCATAAAAGGTATCGCGCACGCGCCAATACTCTTCCTTTGCTGTCCTGACAACGCGATCTCCCAGGGCGACAGGTGCCGGAAGTCGGAAAGGCAACGGCAGCCACCCCGGCGCCCACGGCGGGCGTGCTAGGCACGCAGGTGCCGTCACGGCCGGAACCGAGGGCGGCGGCGGCACCCGCTCATTCTTCTTCAGATCACTGATGGAGGAATTCGGTGACGTCGTACGACGCACCCTGGGCCCAGACACTGCCGCTGGTACCTCAGAGGGCGCTGCAGCTGCTGCGCATGCGGCGGCGCATGGCTACCCAGCTACACAGGGCCCACGCTTGCTCGCAAATGCAGATTCAGGTGCAGCCACGGCAGCGGCGGTGGCGGCGAGGGAGGCGCATAGCTTGAGGATGATGGCAGCAGCAATGGGGGCACAAGAAGCCCAGCGCTCCCTGCACAGATCTGTGCTGCTCGCCGCCCAGGGTTTGGGCGCGGGAGTTGGACAGGCCTCTCAGCCGCTGGTACCCGCGCTCCCATTCCCGCTGCCCTTCTGCACGCCTCCTGGGGCCACTGCGGCCGCTCCCGTTGCCGCTGACGCCCTGGCGCGCCCCGTGTGGTCTGCGGACGCGCCAGTTGATAGCGGCAGCAGGGCGGGCGCGTCGCAGCTGATGCCGCACCTTGGTGCCCTGGCTGCTCAGCAGCAGCGGCAGCAGCAGCAGCAGCAGCAGCAGCAGCAGCAGCAGCAGCAGCAGCAGCAGCAGCAGCAGCAGCAGCTGCAGCAGCAGTCTCAGCGCCAACAGCACCAGCACCAGCACCAGCACCACCAGCAGCAGCAGCAGCAGCAGCAGCAGCAGCAGCAACACCGGTGGCCAGAGCAGCCGCCGCCGCCGCCGCAGCAGCAGCAGCAGCAGCAGCAGCAGCAGCAGCAGCAGCACCACCACCACCAGCAGCAGCAGCAGCAGCAGCAGCAGCAGCAGCAGCAGCAGCAGGAGCAGCAGCAGGAGCAGGAGCAGGAGCAGGAGCAGCTGCATTCCAATCATGCACGACTGGTGCAGGCGTCCCTGGACCCAGTTGCAGCGCTGCTGCCAGCAGCGATGAGAAGTGATAGCCTGCCAGCAGGCACCGCAGGCGGCGCTGTCAGCTCGCTCCTGAACCAGAAGACTGTGCTTCAAACGCATCAGCCAGTTCAAGGCGTTCTGGCGGCGCATCCGAAGCAGGAGGTGGACCATGCCGCAGCAACTACAGCTGTGCCGGCCTCTCAAACGCCTGGTGACGCTTTCGGCGGCCGCGACGCCCACCCTCCGGCCTCGCCCCGCCAAATCCTAGATTGGGACGCCGCCCACGTCGCCACCTGGCTTCTGTCTGCAGGCTGCCCTGAGGCAGCCGCGGCGCTGCGGGCGCACGACGCGGACGGCCCATGCCTGCTGGGGCTTGCGCTAATCTGCGGCAGCGCTGGGGGGCCAGGGAAGCTCTATGACGTGCTCAGAGACTTTGGGGTCGCTCAGCCCGCGGCGCGCGCTCGGGCGGTGGCGCTGCTCTCGCGTCTGCATCTCGCGCGGAACGGGGAGTGATGGCCGGCAGGTCAGGGCTTGTGGCGTGTGTGTGGCAGCTTCAAAGATAACCTGCACTTGCAGCAGAAAGCGCCGGGGATCCTGGCCTCTCAGAAGCCGGTCAACTGCGCTATTTACTGCTGCACTACAAATCGCCATGCTTTGAGATTCGCTCACGTTCCACAGTTTGAATCCGACACACGCTCTGGTTGCTCAAGCAGATTGATTTGTGTTTCTATCCTGTCAAGCTGCAGCCAGCTCATTTTGCTGCTGGGATGATGGCGTTGGCAGAGGTCTTCCGTGGTTGACTGGTATAACCACACATTACAACAAACATCACAAAGCAGCATGTGTGTGCAGAGTATCAAACTCTCACCCCCTGACTCCCAGAGAAGCAAGCACTTCACATGGGCACGGTCATGATGGTTGCCTGCAGCCCTACAACGTTCAAGGGCACGCACCCCTGAATCCACTTGGCCTTTTGTGTGCGTTGTGGCGGGCAGGCAGGCGTGAAGAGGATACAATTAGTACATGCTGCTGCCCGCCAGCACAGTTGTGCTCAATTTTGTTGGCACATTCGGGTCCACCCGTACCTATAATTCAGCCTGGTGCTTACGATGCCATGACTCATGTTGACTCGTGCCATGCGTTCACTTGGCTGATGATTCCCCTCGATTAACACCCCACCCTACACGTGTACACAACTTCCCAACTTTCCCGCTGACAAAAAATGCTGCTAGCAAGAAAAACCAACATGTGTTGATGTTCTCATATTGCTCCTTGTTGACGCAGTGCACTTGAAAGTTGATTGTGCCCTTCAATGCAAGAAATCACTTGATGATGGCATGGGTTACCTCCCAGTTATATGCACTTTGGTGCTTCATATTAAGTAAAGATGCCTCACCCAGTGTGTTTGCCCAGCTAGTTGGTGCTTTGGCTGGATCAGCAGGCGGCTTGACTCGCAACACGCATGCTCCTATAGTGTGGCAACCGCTGGATTAGTAGCTGCCCCTGCGCCAGTTATAAGTAAGCCAGCATTGCGCAAATTTGTAACATTGCGTCATAACATATCATCAGAATAGCAACTGCCTTCTTCATAACAAATATCATGGCGCACGATGCCCCGCTGTACTGTACCCATTCATCATGCTCGCCTACATGACTGTGGTGTTACAAGCTCATGCGGCTAGGCAGTGATGGCAGTGGGCTAATCGCGTGCCCAGCTGCCGCCTCACAGCTGCTTCAGGCATGCCTGGTGCTCTCGCGTCTCATCGTAAGCTCCGCGCCCGCTCAGCAGCAAATCACACCCGTGCCCCCCCAGTACAGTGACCCGCAGGCTTGCTGCAGCTGCTGTGTCATCGGGCGGGGAGAACGTCACCACGACCCGCTGGCTCCGCGGCATGCCCAAACCCCGGCCAGGGATGACGCCAGAGGCAGGGGTGAGAGTGAATGGGCCAAATTGCGCAGGGATGCGGCTGCCATCGACGCCAATGCCCCCATTGGCGGCATGTACAGTCCCTGAAGCACTGCCAGCCAGGATGGCGCTCGTGCTGGTGCCGCTGCGGCTTCCGCAGCTGCTAACTGCATCACTCAGAAGCATGTTGGACAGCAGCGCCCCATTCAGCATCGCGCCCGTCGGCGCAAGGTGCCCCGTCGCGCCTGCTGCCTCCTGCCGCGCCGCAGCCGCACTGCCCAGCGCCGCCGCCGCACCTGACAGGGCCGTCCCGGCGGCTGCGGTGGGCGCGCTGGCGTCCACGACAGCCCACACTGCGTCCACCTTGGTGGGGTTTGTGAGGACCAACTCGAGCTGTTTTGGCGCTTGCGGGTGGACCTCCCCAAAATCAAGCGCCCCCGTGCCGCACACCACGGCGGCGTGCACGACGCATGCCTGCAGCACCATGCGCTGAGTCTCTCCGTTTGCATAATTCACCACAAGCGCCCCTGTCGCTGTAAAGTCCTCCACCGACGTGCCGCCGAATGCGCCGCCGCTGCTGTCATCGCTGGCAGCGCCGTTTGGATTGGGTCTCTGTGGGCGGGCAGGCAGCTGCCCGCCGGCAGCACTTTCGCGGGAACGGCTGTTGCTGCCTCCCCCAACAGGTGTTGACTGGCGGACCATAAGCTGCTCATGCTGCTCTCGCTGCTGTTCTTGCTGCTGCTGCTGCTGCTGCTGCTGCTGCTGCTGCTGCTGCTGCTGCTGCTGCTGCTGCTGCTGCAGCTGCCGTGGTTGCTGCTGCTGCTCTTGTTGCTGCTGAGCCATCTGCTGCTTGAAGGCCAAGACAACCTCCAATGACTCGTGCGGTGGCAGGCAGATCACCCCGCTGCTGCCACCGCCCCGGCCGCAGCTGCCCGCTGCAGTCTTGACGCGCCCAAACAGCGACGCTGCACTCTTGAGCGCAGCGGCGTGCAAGTGGGGCGCCTGTGGGGCAGACGGCACCGCAGACAATACTTCGAAAGGCCCCTCCACGCCCAGCGCAAACGCCAGGGCGCAGGGTGTCGTGTTGGTAAGCGTCGCGCAGCGGCGGGGCGCCGGCCCGGCGCGCCCGGGGGACGCGCCTGTCTGGCCACTCGTGATGCTGGTACAGCACCACTCAACCAGCTTGGTCCCTGTGCTGAGCTCAAGGCGGCAGCTCGCAGCCACAGCGCGCGCCTCGACACGCAATGTCGGGAGCGGGCGCGGCGGGCGCGCTGCATGTGCGTGGAAGCTGCCGAGTAGCTGTGCGCCCAACGGCTGCCAGGCGTTGCCGGTCTGCCAGAGGGCCAACGAGATCGATCTGGCTTCCTCAGACTCCTCTGTCTGCTGTGCCAAGTCTGTGCCATGCACCTGCAGCAAGGCTGCTCCAGTTTGTGGGTCGCTGCAGCGTCTGGATTTGCCGCTATCAGATGGTGCCCGCTGCTGGTGCCGCTGCTGCTGCTGCTGCTGCTGCTGCTGCTGCTGCTGCTGCTGCTGCTGCTGCCGCTGCTGCCCTCGCCCATGCTGTTGCAGACGGTCAGGTGGCACTGCAGCCACCGGGACAATGCGCTGCGTGCCAACCAATCGCAACACGTGACAGCCGGCTGCCGTGCCACCCCCAAACAACACGGTGAATGTCTGCAGCTGGCCTGGCGCGATGACCGCGCTCATCGGCTCCAGATCAAAAGCGCGGGGCGCCTGCTCGTGATCTTGCTGCTGCTGCTGCTGCTGCTGCTGCTGCTGCATGGGATTCGCCACATCCTCTTGGCTACCTTCAGATCGGCTGGCCTCTGTGAATGCAGCCTCAGTGCACGCCCCCTCGTCGCATGTCGACGCCACCACTGCCCGTGCCGCCGGCGTCCCCTCAACTGCATGCGCCTCTTCAGCTGCCAGCGCGCCCGCGGCTGCCAGTGCCCCCTCAGCTGCCTGCGCATCATCCACAGCCTCCCACGTGAGCATCATCGGCATGCAGCCGCGATTGGCCACATGGAATGAGCGCCGGCGCTCCACGCCAAACGGCGCATCTCCCAGGTCAAGGTCGATTGCCAAACCGCCCCTCGCCCTGCCCCACGCTCTCTGGCTGCCGTACGGCACGAGAGGTCCCGCTGCTGCCGCCGCCGCTGCCGCTGCCGTCGCCGCTGCCTCCGGCGCGTCCCCGGCGCCGCTGCTGCCGCCGGGGCAGCCGTGGGCTGCGGCGGGGCTGGGCAGCCCCAGGGGCGCCACGCGGTCCTTCTGGAGGGCGAGCGGCGAGCCGGCCACCCGCACAACGACAGGGATGCGCCGCAGCGGCAGGTCGCCCACCTTGTACATTCGAGGTGAGGGCGGGCAGGGAGGGCGGGTGGTTTGGAAGGAGAACTCACTGCTGACCCGCGCGCCGGAGAGGGCGGGGCTTGCTGCCAGCACAGACTGATGGCCGCGGTAATATGCGAGTTTGCAAGCCGTCATGGTGACGTGCCAGCGTCCGGCGTATCCCTCCACGCAGCCACCCCCTCGCGCCGCCATGTGGTTTTCAGAACCGGGAGCTCAACAACCCCCGGCTGTTTCCGGCCCATTTTCCAGTGACAGCAGAGCGTGAGTCATTCAGCAGCCACCCACCAACTACGCCTCACCTGGACGCACAGCGTGTCCACGTACGTCCCCACCATGGAGCTGAAGGCCACGACCTCCAGCGCCACCGCCCCCAGCGGCTCGAGCCGCCCCCCGCCCGGCGCCACCGCCAGCGCCAGCCCCCGCGAGCCCCCGCCGGGCCCCAGCGCCGCGGACGCCTCCGACAGCTCGCGCCGCGCCGCCATCATGTCGTTGCCGCGGGACCCGGCCGCCGCAAACGGCGCCAGCGCGCCGCCGTCGGCCGCCAGGCGGATCCTGGCGGGGCGCGCGCCGCCGTCCGGCGACGCGCCGCGCCGCCGCCCTGCGCTGCGGCTGCGGCCGGGGCTGCGGCTGCGGACGCTGGTGGCGCAGGAGGTGGCTGGCCCAGCCGAGCGCGGCGGACCCTTGGTGGTGCTCCCGCTGACAGACGCAGCGCATGTCTCAGGGGAATGCACACGGCCAAGGCTGCACGGTTCAGCTCTGCTGGCCGCTTCGCTGGTCGCGGCCGTCACTGCCGACGCCGCTGCCCATGCCCCGCGCCCCGCACGCGGGGCGCCCGTCGGCGACGTGCTGCGCGATGGCGAGTCACGTGCGGCGCCGGCGATGCCCCCGCGTGGGCCGCTGCGGCTGCAGTGCGGCAGCACGTGCACCGTCCACCGCAGCTGCGCGTCCGCTGCCGCTGGGTGGCGTTCCACCCATGCCGCAACTTCAGCCGACATGGATGTGGAGTTAGTCAGCACTAACACCTGGCTGGTCGCCTGCCCGAGCTCGCAAACGCCAAAGTCAAGAGCCAAAGGCTCGGATATACTGCCATCAGCATGCCTGCCGCCGCAGCTCGTTTGCGCCGATCCTGAAGCCTGTTCGGCCGTGCTGCCCTCTCCGCTGCCGCAGCAGGTGCCGCCGCGCTCCTGCTGCACCTCGCTCCCACCAAGCATTTCGGCACAGCCGCCGCCGCCGCTGCCCGGGAACCCCGGCAGCCCGGGGCGGCCCGCGGCCTGCCAGGCGGCGAGCGCAAGCGCCCTGAGCCCCACCTTGAGCCCCCGCACCTCGCAGGCCAACACAAACCCGCGCTGCGCCCGCATGCCGTCGACCCTGCAGACGCCAAACAAGCGGGCGGCGCCCTCCGTCATCGGATCCACGGACAGCCGTATCCTGACGGCCTCGCCAGGCTGCAGCGCGCCGCTGCTCGGGGACACAGACACGCCGACGACGCCCGCGGCGCATTCCCCGTTGCTTTCCAGCTCGGCGCCGCCGGGGGCGGCGTCGTAGGTGTGGGCGCGCGGCGGCGGCGCAGGTAGCAGGCGGCCACCGGGGGTTTGGCGCCAGAGGTCAAAGGCGAACGCGCATGGCAGTGCCGCGTTGTTGCGCAGCCAGAGGGACCGGCGCAGCGGGACGCCCTTGTAGCAGGCGCCGAGGTCAAGCCTTAAGGATTTTTTTGGAGAGAGAGGGGGGGTGGTAACGCAGGTTCAGCTCCCGTGCTGCAGTCGCAATGGATGTGGGAGATCGATGATTCATCACCCAGCATCCAAGGCGGCGCACCAGGTCTCTGAGGCTTGTGATTGCGATCAGAACGCCCTGCAATACTCAAACTCAAGAGCTGACCATCATCACGTTGCAGACCCACCTGCACGGTTCCAATGCGACGTCTGGCACCACCACAGTCACCTCGGCCTCGAGGCACGCCACACGCGCCCCCCCGCCGCTCGAGCAGCGCAGCACGATGCGATGCGGCCCCGGCACCGCAGCCGCGCACACCACGCGCACGGCGCACTCGCCCGACGGCGGCAGCGTCCCGCTGGCCGGCTCAAAGTCCAGCAACTGCTCCAGCCTCGCCTGCCGGCCGCTGCGTGTCTCCAGCACGTTCCCGCTGCCGCTGCAGCTGCCGCTGCCGTTGCCGCTGCCGCTGCCCGCTCCCACACCGTCGACGCCCGCCTCGGCCGCAAGAGCAGGCAGCTGCTCGAACCTCCATGATGCCCCAGAGAAGGCCGATGTGTTGCGCAAATGCAGCTCTCTGGCCACGCTGTGCCCGACTCGAACCAGCCCGAAATCTATCAAGCCGCCTGCGGCCCATAGCACGACCTCCGCTTCCTGCACTTCCGCCGACACCACGAACGGCAGTGCCGCGCCGTGCCGCACCGCGCAGGTCAGCGCGCGCCGCAGCGGCCCGAGCGACGAGGGCCGCAGCACGACGGAAACCGCGCACGCGCCGCGCGGCGGGACCACGCCGCCGCTCGGCGCCAGCGCGAGCGCCGGCGCTCCGGTCTGCACGGCGTTGCCGTGGCCCTCAACAGAGGGTGCATCAAACTGGAAGTGAACCGGCGCATCCGTCGGGTTGCGCAGCATCAGCTCCGCCTCCGCGCGCTGGCCGCGCGCCAGCACGCCGGGGAAGCGCAGCGACGGCGGGTCCAGCTGCAGCAAGGCGGGCGCGCCTACGCCCTGCAGCATGATGCTGACCACCTCGAGCTGCTGCTGCTGCTGCTGCTGCTGCTGCTGCTGCTGTTCTGCGAATGCGCCGGCCTGTCCGCCCTCTCCCGCCGCCCAAGGTGCCGCGGCGGCGGCGAGCGCGGCGGCGGCCGCGATCTCCCGCTCGTGCGCAGGGCCAATGGTGCCGGCTCGAAACGCCGACGCAGCGCGGTCCACCCGCAGCCGCGCCCGCGCCGCCGCATGGCCAACGCACGCCGGCGCAAACGACGCAGTCACGGTCAGCCGCTCCCCCGGCTGCAGCACGCCGCTGGCCGGGTGCAGCGTGAACGCCGCCGCAGGCGCCGCTGCGGCTGCCGTCGAATCATCACGTTCAAGGCCCTCTGACAGCGGCCCGACCTCCCAGCAGAACGGCAGCGCCACTGGGGACGCATTTCGGACCACTAGCTCCCGCTCCACCGCCACGCCAGGGACCACCTCGCCCATCCATATCAGGGCCGCCACCGCCGCCGCCGCCCCTGCCTCGTCGCCCCCCCTGCCGCCACCCCGGCCACCCTGAACATCCCCGATGCTGCTTGGCACCGCCGCCGCCGGGCAGGGCCGGCCGTCGGGCTCCTCCAACCGCACGTCCACGTCCGTCCCGCGGCCGCGCACCACGAACCGCACGACCTTGCAGTTATCGCACACCAACAGGAACGGCCGCGCCGCGTCGCCCAGCGCCTGGGGCGCAAACGAAATCGACAGGCTGGTGGCCGCGCCGGCCGGGGTTTCAAAAAGCCTCGGCTCCAGCCAGAACGGCGCCAAGGCGGCACGCGCCGCGGCGTCGTCATCTATGGCGGCGCGGTCGCCGGCCGAGCCGAAGGGCGCGGCGCCTGCTGCTGATGAGGGCGGCCACAGAGCCTCGGGGACAAGCCAGAATCGCCCGTCGCCGCCCGTGTTTGTGAAGTGGACCTGCGGCCAAATAGGTTGTAGAGTTTCAGTCATCAACAGGACCCTTTGCCGCCACTGGCGTCCCATCAAAGCAAAGCTAGTTGCATCATAACAACGATCCTGCAACCCCAGAAGGTGCAGGCAGCGGCACGACCCTGACCACCAACGCCGTGTTTGTGCACGGGGATCAGACCCTAGCAGCCCCCCCCCAAACACACACATGCGTGGGGCCCCAGCAGTCCCATTCGCCAGCCAGCTGCCAGCTGGCTGCCAGCCGGCTGACCCCCTTGAACCACTGTGCCCCTTCCCATCCCGACACCCCACCAGTGCTCACCTGGATCATCCTCGTGTTTCCGGTCAGCACGTCACCCACATCGACTTCCTGCGGCAGCCCCAGCACCGGCGGCCGCCGCCGCCCCCTCACCGGCACCTCCACCCTCCCCAGCTGAGTCAGCACGCAGACGACATCGTCGTAGTCAGCCAACGAGTCGGGCGTGAACCTCACGGCGAGCTCCGCGGCCATGCCCGGCGCGACGTCGTTGGCGGCGGCAGTGGGGAACCTGCGGCCGCAGTGGACAGATAAGCGCGTTGAGCGCTGATGTCAGCGCTGCATGGTGCAGTCAAGCACCACGGCCTCGAACCCCCAACTGTGTGAATGTGGGACGGTTGAATAAGCCGGTATCTGATGCATGTGCTCACGCGCCGCACAGCTTAATTTGCAGCCGAGTACGTCCAGCGCCGGGCCCCACCAGCGTGCTGCTGTGCGCAAGGGTTGGCACTAGATCAGGATGCAACAACAACCAGGCAGCCCTAAACCACCAGCGCGCACCTTGGCAGTGAGACGTGGAAGTACTGAGAGGCAGGCGGCAGCAGCCGGAGGCCCCTCGTAACGCCTGTCACGTTGCGCAGCCTCAGAGTCTGGGTGTACACACCGCCGGGCTCGTAGCCGCCAAACACCAACTCTGAGGGCTCTGCTGCAAAGGGCTGCTGCTGCTGCAGCAGCTGCTGCTGCTTTTGAGTTGCTTGCTGTGGGTTGATATGACCTGCCTTGGAGACGGAGGGCGCCGGAGAAAAGGAGCCGCCACGGCCGCGAGCGGGGCCTGCTGCTGGGGCGTCCCGGTAGCGCGGGTTGCGCAGGAATGACAGCCGCTGGCGCATGGCGCGGATGACCCTGTGACCGTGCCGGGAGTTGTGCGCGCGCCGCGCGTCGAGCGATGATCAATAATGCGAGAAGGGCGTGGCAGATGTGTGCTGTGGAAACTCATCGTTTCTCGCAGAAAGGCTCCGGCCTGGGACAAACTGTATCGCGTCATGCAAGTGAAATCCTGAGCAGCACGCCGCCACAGCCACCCACCCACCTCTCCTCCACCTCCCACTGCGCCGACGACATCTGCAGCGCGAGCGCCCTCTGCCGCGCCTCGGCGGCCTCCAGCCGCGGCCGCAGCTCGGCCTCCGGCAGCGTGGACCACGCGCCCGCCCGCACGGCGGTCGTCAGGCCGTCGCCCCTCCTGGCGGCCGCGATGGACTGCCGCACCTGCGCAAATCAGGTCGCAAGCGCAGCGTGGACGCATGCAGTAACATGCAGGTTTCTGCACCACGAATAAACGCACACACATTTGTCATAGTGCCGCCACATGTGTGCGCACCCTGCTTTGCCGCCTGCACTGCCCTGCTTTCTCAAACACGCCAACGGCTCAAGCAGCCTCACGCCCTGGTTGCTTGCCTTCAGGTTGCCGGTTGCCTGCAGGTGGTGGGGCTCCAATGAGTCATCGTCGTACTCAAACACCCGAGGGGGCGACAGCACCTCCGCCTGGCGCACATCCTGAAGCTGCCGCGCAACCGCGCCAGGGTCTAGCAGAGCGCCGGCCGAGGTTTTGCTGGGGTCCAGGCGCAGCCGGGAGGGCTTGGAGGGCAGCCCGCCGCCGCGCCACGCGGGAGTGAACTCTGTGCGGGGTTGGAGCACGCAGTATTGTTGGATGGAGAGGCTCTTGGGCAGCAGGGGCGGTGCAGAGCATACTCCCACCCAAAATTGGGGGTGCCGGGGCGGCACGACAATCCCAGCAGCTGCAATTCTGGCCGGGAAACAGAGTGAATTGGAGGCGCGTGGTTGCGCCGCGGCGTTGCGGGCGCCCGTGGAGCGTCCTGCTCCCGCCACCCGCGGACACAGGCCACCAGGACCGCCACACTACTGCGCGTCGGTGGGGCCCAGCGGCGCGTGTACAACCCACCTTGGTCCGCCTGGGCCAGCACCCGCTCCTCCTCCGCAACTGCCTCGCGGCGCGCAGCCTGGAGGTGTGCTTGGAGGGTGGCCGCCTCCTGGGCAGCGGCGTCAAACTGCGGCGGCACGCGCGCAGAGGGATTGGGTTTACGTCGCGTCACTGTGAAGCTTCCTGGTGCCGCCTCCAGGCTCCGAGTGCACGCATGCTTGCGTTATCTGCCACCAGCACGGATGGATGTTCTGAATCGTGGGTTTCACTCACCCGGTGAGCGATGGACGCAATGCGCTGCTCGTACATGTCAGCGGGTGCGCCCTGGGCGCAGCGTGGCGCGCCGCCATCCGTGTGCTGCGGTCGTGGTTGCAGCTGAGCAGGCTCGCCGCCTGCTTGGGCGTGCGTCTGTCCAGGCCTCTCGCCAAGCTGATCATGCGCGAACCCATCACCGCCTGGTGCGGCGTCGCCATCTTCACGCTGCTCCTGCTCCTGCTGCGCCAACGCCTCTGTGCTCGAGTAGATGGCCGGCAGAAAAACTTGCAGTAGATCCAAATGACTCATATTGCTTGGTTACCGGGCCGAGCCACGGCCAACGAGTCAAGGCATAATCACCGCTCGCGGTACTGCCGCTGTGGGCGGACTGGCCATTTCCTGAACATTTAATTTACATTTAGAATTCAACTTGTGCACTGAACTGGCACATTTACGATCTGGTGCGGGGTGACACTAGTGTTGACCATCGCCGCCCAGGTCATGCAATCGAAGCTGCGACAGCAGCCAAAGAAAAGCGGCTTATGTCCAGCATCAGAAAGCTTTTCTTGAGATTGCATGCTGCGGCCGTGCCAGGTGTGACCATTTGGCTCATGCTGCGTGCAGGTGGGGGTGGGCGGCGGGGTTGGCATACCGATTGGGCCTGTGTGCAATGTGAGCGTTGCATCAGAGCGTGCGCCGCCGGATCGATGATTACTCTGCCACCAAATGTCGCTGTCCTTCATGCGATGGGTGAAAACCCAACGATTTTCTAAAGGCGTGGACCGTGGATGAACCAGGTAGATGCACGCTCCTCATGTTTGACCTGCTCTCACACAGCTGAACTCGAGCTGCGACTGATATCTTTGCTGCACCCAGATGGCATCCAATGCCTGCAAGCACAGCTGGCGAGTGTTTCTCCCGTGCTGCACCAGAGCACCTCTCCCAGCTGTTCTACTGCCAGTGGGCCGCACGACGTAGTCATGGGGGCTGACGATGTCCGACTCTGCCGCTTCCAAGCTGCCTGCGGGGTGTTGATGCCAATGGTACCATTTTTTGCTTTTATAATCAACGCGCACAGCATCTAGATTCTCTGTTGTAGCGTCGGATCACTGCGCCTGACCAGCTGCGATTCGGCAAGCCATCCTGCTTCAGCCCCGTAGGCTAACCACCAGAAAGGCAAAGGTTATCGAAGGCCCTGTGTCGGCGCATACTGTTTCTGTGCCTGTGGCGCGCCTGAAACGCTGGACACTGCGCGGCAGCTGTCGGCGTGCAGTGCTGGTCGCACCTGCTAGCGCGGCCCGATGCGGCCGCTGCTGACACAGCTGCTGGCAATACCTCCAGCGCTGCTGCTAGAAGCGGCAGGCGACAGGCGGCTCGCCGCCGCCGCTGCCGGCGGCGTCAGCGACGGGCCTGTGGCATGGCTGCTGGAGGGCTCGCAGCACCCGCCGTCTGTATACATCGTCCTAAGCCTGGGAGTCTTCCTGGGCAATGTCGCGATGGTGAGAAGGGGCCCGCTTGCAAGCTGGTTTGCTGTCGCGCAGCCGTGCCCCGCCACAGCACGCTACTCCCCGCTCGTGCGCCGCTGTTGGACCACCCCGCTCCCCTTCACCCTGCGCTGCGCCTCGCCAGGGCGTGACGGGCTTTGGCACGGCCATCCTGCACCTCAGCTGCTGGGCGACCGCCAATGCGTTTGGCGTGTACGCAGGTGCGCCCTTGTGCCTGCCGAGCCACCCCGTTGATTCAGTCGCTGCACATGTCTTGCCCAAGTCCTGCACCCGAGCTGCCGCCTCCCTCACCGCTGTGGGCGGCCCTCGTCACACGCCTCCCACCGATGACATGCACCGCCCGACGCCCCGCAGGAAGCCTGAAGCTGGCCGTAATATCATGCAGCTGCGCCATGACTGTCGGCATGATACCCCTGGTCTTCCTGGCAGACGCCAGGCAGCACGCCATACGGCCCCTGGCCCTGTCCATTCCGCTCGCGAAGGTGGGTCCGGCGCGCGCGCGCGCGCGCGCGTGTGTGTGTGTGTGAGTCAAACGAATGGTTTTGGGCATCAACACATTGTTGTGCCTCAATATCCCGGGGCCCCCCCCCCAGTGCCGCCTCAAAACTCAGCTGGCGCCGCCCCTTCAAACGCCCGTCCCCGCAGGCGGTCGGCGCACCCATGGGGGCGCTGCTCCTGAAGCTGGTGCCCCCCCGCCCCCTGGAGGGCCTGGTGGCGGCCCTGATGCTCGTCATGATGGCAATCATCAACCGCCGACAGCTGCGCGCGGTCGGCTTCCGTTCCTGGGCGGCGCTGCGCGGCGGGCGCGCCGACGCCTGGGCCTACGAGGGCGGAGGGATGGCGTGCGCACCCGGCGGCTGCGGCGGGGATGGCGACGATGCGGGCAGCAAGGACGGCGATGAGCTCGTACCCCTGGTCGCGGCGCAGCGCCACAGGAGCGACGGCGTTAGTGGCGGCAGCGGAGGCAGCGGCGGCGGTGGCGGGGCGGGCGAGCAGTACGGGCAGCAGGCGTGCCTCGCCGCAGCGCGCGACGGCGCCGCGGCGGTCGATGCAGAGGGCTCGGCTGGGGTGGTGCCGCCAGCAGCTGGGCCGCATGCAACCGTGGGTGTGGGCGCTCAGTCATCAACGGCAGGGGCACCACAGGCAACCCAATCGGTGGCGAGTGGGCCTTCCACTGAGTACGCAGGGCGCTTCTGGACTCTTTTTGCGGCTGGCACTGCTGCAGGCTTCAGCTCCGGCCTGCTTGGGGGCGCGACAGGTGGGCCTCGGTCGGGGCAAGTGGTTGTAGACTTTTGCGTGTTGTGGGTGTAGTTTCTGCCTGTGCTGTCGCTGTTGCTGCAGCTGTTGCTGTGTCTGTTGCTTGCTACAGTGTGCGAACCTTACTTCCGTTCACATCTAAGCCGCTCAGCTGCTCTCTCCCTTCCACTCCCCTCGCCCACCGCGCCCGCCGGCCCGCGCCCCCCAGGCGTCAACGGCCCCCCCCTGATGGTCCTCTACAGCTGGCTGGGCGCCGCCAAGGAGGCCGTCCGCGGCACGTCAGCCGTGGTGGCCCTGGTTCAGGACCAGTGGGTGGGCTACTGGGCCCTCGGCCTGCTGAGCTGGGCAGACGCGCCCGTGTACCTCGCCGCCTCGGCCGCCGGCGGCCTGGGCATGGCGGCCGGCCACGCGGCGCAGCGGCTGATGGACCAGCGGCAGTTCTCGGCGGTCATGACGGCCCTTATGGTGCTCTGCTTCGTGCTGATGACATCATCGGCGGCGGGGTGGATCCAGCTGGTGGATGCAGGCGGTGCAGCTTAGATACCATTTCCTCTCTTCTTTTTGCTCATTCAAGCGACTGGAAGCGGCTGCAAACACCCATTGCACAGCGTTGTATTGTTGGCCACATCGACGGCTATGGATTGGCGGCCACCTTCGTTGCCGCATGCTTACACATGCACACACACCTGTCACACATCAGCAGCACCCTAGTAGACTCACATGCACATGCAAGCTTGTCTATGATCAACCACGTCACTGTAATTTGAACAGTAGTTCCGGGCATTTTCCAGCCGTGACCGCTGCCAAAAGGGTCAAATTACAGATTACCAGACATGCACCATAAAGCGACCGGACATAGGACACAAGTTAATTTGCTTGTCAAAACACGGGCAGATGAAGGGGGACAAAAGGCACTGAGTGGGATTCATTCGAAGGGTGCACAACTGTGATCTTGACTACGCCCTACCGCGGCCGCCGCGCCGCCGCCGCGCCGCCGCCGCTCGGCGCGCGGGCGAGCCCCCCGCCGCCCGCCGCCCTCCCTCCATCCGCCGCCCAGGCGCCCCCCGCGCCGCCGCCCGTGGCGG